ATGAAGGGGGGGAAATGGGAGAACTGAAATGGCATAATCAATAAAATATATTAAAAAAATAAACCTCAGCAGATCTCCCCGCTTGGACTGCATCTGTCCGTCTCTTGCACAGCACGCTGCTTGGGCCTGCTCTGGGTCTTCACTACACTGTTCTTTGTCGGGTTATGATGGGTGGGTCTTACTCTAACCAACGGAGGACTCCTGAGAAATGAGGTTCACACCCTTTTTAAATCTCTGTTTCCTGCTGTGCTTAACACAGTGCTCAGAATGCATAATTGTTCAAAAGTTACTGGTTCAATGCTCTTGGCTTGATTAACAAGTTTAAGCCCTTGCCCTGGAATCTCCCTCTGGTCATGGGCCCTCATTGCCTCTTGAGTAAGTGAGCTAAATCCATTCATTTTTCAGCCTCATGTGTCCATCTCCTCATTCCATGTTTGGAGCACCAGCCAGACGCCTGTGGGGCTCAGTCATGACTCCCAGAGCACCAGAGGGTCCTGCCAGCTGCCAGCTGCCACTGTCTTCTCCTTGCTAGCCCCCCTTGCTGTCAGCACCATTGACATTTAACTCTCCCATTGTCCTGCTCCCTGTCCCCTGGATGAATTAAGTTGAACTCTCCAATAAAAAGCATTTTGGAGCCTTTATTCCTACAGGTAGGGTAAAAGCAAGATTCCTAAAACCAGCAGACTGGTGTTTCAATTAGGAAGGTGAAAGTTCAGGTTAACTACATATCGCTGGGCACCAGGAACTGTGTGTAGGAGAGAAACCACCCGCAGGGGCCGTGCCAGGGACCTGCTGCTCAGGGAGGTCAGTGTGGGCCAGTGACGGGCCTCCCCAGGGTGCGCTTTCTAAGAAAGATGGCAGACCAGGAATTTTCTAAGGGGAAACATGCTGTTTTCCCCAAGCTTGGTCCCCCAACTCCCTCCCCTAAGCCTCCTGAGTGAGGGAGTTCCACATCTGGGCTTTAGAGGCCTGAGGCTGTCTAGCTCTGTAGTAACTGTCAAGCAACTGCAGTAAGAAGAGGATTCGTTTCCTGGCTGGGGAGATCCCAGACAGATGGGTACGGAGGGGACGACAGGTACACAGAAACACAGAACCGAGCAAACACCACCGGGGCTGCCAGCAGCCTCTGAGATAAAGAAATCTCGTCGTGGGGAAGCCTTCTTAGCCACAGCGTAGATAAAGGAAGCTGGGCTCTCCCTGCCACTCAGAGGCGAGGTGTTGGGTGTGGTCACGGGTGGGCATTAGTGAGCCTCACGCAGCCCCTGAAGGAAGATGCTGCTTTCTTTTCCCAGGGAGAACCCAGAGGTACAGGGCAGGTGTGGCTCGCTGAGCGTGGCTGTAGACAGGACAGGGTGGGTGCCCAGTTCTGTCGGAACCTCCGTCTCAGGCTTTTCCCAGAAACCATAGCCCTGACACAATCCCCTCCCCACAGACATGCAGGAGTCCGGGCACCGGCTGTCCACCCAGGCCGGGGGAGACTGGGGGTTGGGGCAGGATTTCAGGGGTGCCGCCGGCCGAATTCCCCTCACGGGCTTGCCGGCAGTGCTGGGATCTCACATAACTGTTGCTTTTGTTGTTTAAATTGTCACCATTTTACTTAAATTGTCACCTGCAGTCACTTGCTTACTTTGGCTGGTTTATCCCGCTGAGCCATGTCTGCAGGTCCTTTCTGCTCTGATTTAGAGAGGAAGAAACTTGTTTCCTCTTCCTTCTTCATTCCCAATCTTCGCCAAAGGCCTCTGTGCGTTTTGAACAGAAAGAGGCCAGGGAAATAACCAAAACGACCACTTCATAAGCCTCCCTCGAGCCTTTTTGTAGAGGAACGATTTTTTCTGTACCTGGAGAAAACTCAGGGGACAATGAAAAAGCCAGAGGCTTCATAGGAGAGGAGTGAGGTTTCCACAGCGTGGTCAGGGCGCCCCCTGGTGGATATACATAAAGGGAGTAATAAAATCTTTCCGAATTCTCTCCATTTTACGTCAACATTCAACTTCCCATCAATTTCTGTATCTGTATCTGGTTTACACAAACTCAATGGCTGAAAACGGCACACATTTACTACAGTGCAGTCCTATAGGTTAGAAGTTAGAAATGAGTCACCTCTGGCTAAAATCAAGGAGTTGACAGGGCTGCCTTGCTCCTGCCTTGGGAGCTGCTAGGGGCCTCCTGTGGCCTTTCCTCCACCTTCCAAGCCAACAGCCTGGAATCTCTTCGACCCTCCTCCTGTTGTCTTGCTCCTGTCTGACTGTTGTCTGCTGGAAAAGGTTCTCTTTCAAGGGTTCATTTGATTGGGGGGACCCACCCAGATAAAGCAGGATAATCTCTCCATCTCAGGATTCCTGACCTTAATCCCATCTGCCAAGCCCTTTCTGCTGTGCAGGATGAATGTCCACAGGTTCCCAGGACTAGGATCGGGCATCTTTTCTCAACCATCATTCCCCCTGCCTGATCACTGGCCATAATCACATTCTTTGGGCTCCAGGAGGGAGTGAATGAGATTCTCCTTACCCAGGGGGCATACCCACTACTGAGAGAAATAGCCTTGTAGGCATCTTGGCTTCTTGGCACCCTCGTGGTGCACAGGGTGCTGTGGGGGCACTGGGGAGGGAGCCCCAGCTCTGCCCGCAGACCTCGGGGAGGACTCCCCGGGGAGGGAAGAATCTCAGCTGAGAGCGGAGGACTAGTATTTTCTGAGTGCCTTATCTGTGACTACAGCCCGCACCATCCACTGTTTATAGGCCATTTCCCACTTGGTTTCCAGGAAAGAACTGTTTCCAGGAAAGGAATGAACACAGCTAGGAATTCTCAAGTGCCCACAGAGAGGTGTCCTTCCCAGGAGGCATGGGAGCCATGTACATACAGCTTTATACTGAAATGTCCAATAAATGAAACAAGTGAAAATAAAACTTCCCGAAATGGTGATTACGCTGGGGCTTCACAGACTGGGCGAGGGAGCCTTTGGGGGTGTTGCCAATGCTTCCAGTCTCGTCCTGGGGGTGGCTCCACACGCCTCTGCATCATGTGAAGTGGCGGGGGCCACACGAAACCCTGCCCTGAGCCGCCCCAGCCCCAGCAGCCAGGACAACTCAGCGGACCGCTCTGGCCTGGAACCTGGTTTGAAGTCCACTGCCCTGGTTTTGGGATGTAGACTTCTGAGGGGACACCCTCACCCTGAGGGGGGCCCACGTAAGGCACATCAAAAGCTCTTTGGTGTGATTCACTCCAGAACATGGTTCTGTCTCTTCATTTCTTCTTCAGTAAATTTCTAAACAAAATATTGAATACACACAGAGTAGGTGGACAAATTCTGAATAAATACGCCCGTGAAGCCATTATCTGAGGCAGGAACCAGAACATCACCAGCAATGCCCCGGCCCCCTCCTAGGATAACCACTGACTTGTAGGCCTACAAATTCGCCTTGCCTGGCTTTGAATCTTATATAAATAAACTTTCACAGAATGCATCTTTTGTGTCCAGCTTTCTTCTCTCAGCATTATTTTGGAGATTCATCTGTTTTTGAGGAGAGCTGCAAAATATTTTTTCTATAAGAATGTCATTATTTATTTGTCTGTTGATGGCAATCTGGATCGTTTTCAACTTTTCTATCTCCCCATCTGTAACCAACAGTGAAGAAACCTGAAACTCAGGTATTTTTTAAATCCTAGAGCAAGTTAGGAGCAGGCAGGACTGGAAGCTGGGTCGAGCAGTGGATTCCAGCAGGACCCCCAGGCCCTGTGGCCATTGCAGCACCTAAAACAACTTACTGACTTCATGTCCCATCCACCTACCTGGGTGAGTGAGCACCCAGCCCTCTCCAATCAGGCAGAGAAGCCCTTGAGAGCCAGAGCAGTCTCCGTGGTTAACACCAGCCCAGAGCGCACGCCTCTGCTTTCCACGGCTGGCTGTGTACCCCTTCCCTCCCAACACTTCGCTCACCAATTTGCCAAGAAATCCAAGAGGACGCTAAATTCCTGTTATTAAAATGGGAGGGGCCTTGTACAGGGAGGGCCTGAAGCTGTCTGCCATCCCTGGGCTCTCAGTGTGAATATTCATGAGGGTCTCCCCACCCTCCTGGTGGGGAGGGGGAGAACAGAGGCTCCAAGCAGGACTCAGAGGCCACCCGGAGTGGTGGTCCCCGACCTTGTGTCTTTGCTCTTCAAGCAGCATGATCCTTTGCTTAAACCAGATTTCAGATGAACATTTTGGGTGACCCCCAAATTTGTCCGCCTGTCTCCATGGATCGCATAGAGCTCTGGGAGGTCCAGGTGAAAACCTTTGATCTGGACCAACCACAGATGTTAACCAGGGCCCAGAGGGTGCCCACTGCTCCTGTGGGTGGTCACCCTGTCACCTTAATACCTCCTCACACTGAGGTCGGAGCGCATTTCTGGGCTGGTCTTGTGTAACTAGACTGAAAAGACGCCCACAACCTAATTCCAGATGTCATTTTTAAGTGCACAGTGTTGGTAGGTGGGCTTGCCCCTCTGGTAGATTCCTACTGGTGGAGATTAGTGAAATTCCCCTAATCGGGGCTCCACAAAAGTTTAAGGGATCCCCACCACCCCAGAAGGGTGAGGACACAGCGCAGCCCCTCTGAGCAGCGGGCAGCTGCTGCCACTCCAGTTTCCAAGCTGAGTCAGGGATGCCCTGCGCCCAGAGCCTCTTTTGAGCTGTGGCAGGTTGGGGCGCCCCCTGCTGGCTGGATTGCCACAGAGGACTCCCTCGTTCCCCAACAAGGAGGGAGTTGGGGTGACAAGGCAGGTCCCACAGCTCCAAGCTAAGCCTGAAAATTAATTCCCAGCAAATTGTCAGGAAGTACTCTTTTACTCTCGGTTGGTTGTAAAAGAGCACAGATTACAACATTCCTCGCACAGCAGGCCGCACCCCCCTCTGAGTACAAAGTGGGGGGGAGGGGGCGCGGAGCGGGGGCGTGGGTGAAGGGTTTCTAATGCAGACCTCTCTGCCACCTTGGGACCCGCCTCTGCAGACGCCTCCGGGTGCGATGCAGTCCAGCGGGTTCACCGCTTACTCGTCACGAATCTGAGCGCTGTGAAACCGAAGGGTTATGGACCGGGCGGGGAGATGAAAGTAAGGATGGAGACAATGTTTAAGCAGCTGCTTCTCTTCTTTTGCTCAGATATCCAGAGGTTCTTCTCAGACAGTTAAAATTTGCAACTGGCTTTTAATTTGTAAGTTGCTGTTACTAACTGCTAAGTTTAAATGTCCCCAAACTGTAATTTGTCAAGAGCTTTATGAGAAATTCTGTACTTCTTTTTACAACTACAGGGCATTCTGAGGGCCCCCCCGGTCTGTCCTCCGCAGGCAAGAGCTTGCGGCAGGAAAGGAAGGAAGGAAGCAGGGAGCAGGGAAGGCCGGAGGGAAGGAGAGGAGGGATGGGACCGGGCGGGGCCGGGAGCGTGTGTACCTCTGATGTATATGCATACGCAGGTGGCTCCAACAGCGAGTACTGACTGAGTGCTCGCTCACTACATGCTGGGTCTGTAACAGATACTCAGGATGCAAAGGTGGATATGAGACCCACTGACCAGCCCGGAGAGCTTGGCGTCTAGTGAGGGAGACGGCTGTGAAAGCCCTGCCGCTGTAGCAGAGGCAAGGGAAGAGCGAGGAGCAACTGCCTGGGTAAGTCAGAGAACACATCCCTGAAGAGGGGACCTTCGGGCCAGATTTTGGAGCGTGATCACGAGCTTTCTGCTTGGCGTAAGGGACACTCACTCGTTCCAGTCTGAAGAACCCGTGTGGGCCGGGCATGGAAGAGGCAGCTGGCCCAGGCAGGCCACGTAGCCAGGCAGAGGAGCAGAAGCTGCCGCCCCCGCCCTCGCCCCTTTCTGAGCTGGCAGCACAGAGAGGGCGCCAGCCTGGGGCAGCCGGTTTGCAGGCTCAGCTTCCCCTGATCTCTCTGGATATTGTTGCTCTTGTTGTTTTTAAGATAGTGCTTGTTTTTATTTTTATTTTTTTATTGTTGTTCAGTTACAGCCGTCCTGCCTTTCCCCCCATGGGTCTCCCCTGCCCCACCGCTGGTTGTTCAGCCTCTTTCCCACACCAGAACGGAGGACTGGTGAGATCCCTGTGACGCGAGGTGCGTGAGCAAAAGGGGCCGGAGAAAGGGGAGCTGTCCTGGCACGCCTGTCGGGTCTCTGCCTGAGCCGAGAGCCCGCGATTCCCGCTGAAGGCAGAGACACCCGCTCCGCCCTGGGGCATGGAGAAACAGGCCCGGAATGACCACGCGGCCTGTCCAGGTCACGCAGAAGTTACCCGAATTACTCTCCAAACACTTCAGGTGCTGAGGTCTGGCCTCCTCCACTGGATTTTAAGACACCTGAGGACACAGACTGGCTCTCATCCCTGCACCGTCTCATCCCTGCTTCTGCCGGCTTTGGGGGAGATGCTGGTAGCAGACACCAGCGAGGTGACAGCTGCGTGTTCTGCCTGGTGGGGCCCTGCACCGATGCAAGTAAAGCTGGGAAATATTTCAGTTATTTATGTGAATCTTTTTCCTCAATTTGTACCCACACAGGCTAATCACACAGCAATGGGTCCAGCAAGCGGGCTTCCCCTCTCCGGGGCTGGACTCGCTGTGACTCATGGAGGGGGTTGCAGTGACTAGTTCCACCTGCGACATTTCCCTCCTTCCCCGTCCTGGCGTTCTAAAGCGAGCTCTGATTTTCAGACTCTGCATCTCTGTTCATGCCCGCGGGTGCTGAGAGGCCAGGGTGTCCTGCACTCGGGGGCTTCTCCTCCCTCCTTCCTCACCATCTGTCACTCTTCTGGGTGAAAATCCAGCCACCAGGGGACCCAACTAAACTCACAAAGATGTTCTGGAAAAGAAGGAAGTCTTTCCAAAGTTTGTGGGGCCTGTGACCTGTCAACAGGCTCGTTACCATTTGTGCCTTCACAGACAGGACTCCACTGGCCCCAGGGCTCTGGCCCAGGTGTTAGTCATACCTACATGTACAAATAGGAAACGGGACTGTGAGTGGCGCCCCCTTCAGGACTCAGAGTGAATGACAGGTGCAGCAGGGATTTGCCGCTGGGGTTTTTGAACCCTGAAGCCTGCAGTCTTTTCCCACACACCTCAGAAGGCCTGTTGAGCAAGACGTCCTTGGAAAGGGTGGTCAGGGCCCTGAAGGACTGGGATCCAGAGACGGGAGCTGTAGGAAGAGGAAATTCTAGGGCATGCAGGTCTGGCTGGGAGTCGGTCTTATGTGGAGGCAGGCTCTGCTGGTGACGGTGCTCGTGGCCCTTTGGGGAGCCCTGTTCTCCAGTTCCCTACGGCCTGTCAGGGGCCCCATCTGCAACGCTTCTGTGGTTTCTGAAGAGGGGGCAGAGGCCAGTCGGGGTTGCAGGGAGCCTCCTAGGGATTTCTCCAACCAAAACTTCCTGTCCCCTTCTGACTGCTGAGAACCGATCTGATATTGACATGAAAAATGTCCATACTCAAGAGCGGAGAACCGGAAGTTAAACGGACTTGTCAGTAAATCACTCCCCAGTCTCCTGTCTACTCCCAAGTAACCGAGGGCTTTGTCACTCGGCATTTCGCTACACAGACCCTAAAAAAGATGAAGCGGATGCACAAAATCTAGAACAACAGGATTGGTAAGGACCAACCTCCCTATTTCGTAGATGACCTGACTGGGGAACTGCCAGCTCGTGAGTGCTGCTAGCGATGGGACTTCCACTCTGAGTTCCCATTGGTCAAGATTTTATAAGCTCATGTACCATGGAAAGTTCTAAGAAGGTCAAAAAGTGTGTGGCATGGTGGGCAGCTCCCTTTAATAGTCCACTTTCCAGCTTGGAGAGATACCATCATACAAGCAGAAGAGCAAAAGTGAAACATAAGCCGAGTGTGTAAAACTCCAGGTGAGTGATGCAGCTGTGAAGGCCACAGGACATCAGAGGTGTGCGGGGATTGTGGGGGAGGGGGGTCACTCACCTTCATGAGGTTTAAGTAGGTCAGGGAATGGCTGGCACCAAAGCCAGCTCTTAAGTCTCCAGAGATCACCTTCCTCAGTGGCTCTGCTGGTCCCTGAGGTCTCCACCTCCTCCAACCTGCCTGCACGGTGACTTTGGAGCTCACCTGCACACGTCAGCTACAGGGGAAGGGGTGGGGGTTATAAGCGCCTCTGTGGGCTTGTGACCGAACGCAGGTCTGACTGCCTGCTGCTTGGAAAGCCAATACTCAAGAGGCAGGTGCTGATGTAAAGGAAAGTGGTTTATTTGCAGATGCTGGCCATCTGGAAGATGGGGGACTCATGCCTCAAAGCCCATCTCCTGGGGAGGTAGGGTACCTTCTTCTCAAATCCCTTCTCCCCCTCTCAGTGGAGGTGGAGATTTTTATAAGGAGGGGGAGGGGAACAGAACAAAGAGATCAAGGGAGGGGGTTGCAGAGTTCTCTATGTGCAGACAAGCACAGTCCGTTCCCATAGCTCAAGCGATGGTCTGGTGTGCGTCATCCGGGCTTGGAGTCCTCCGGGCTCCAGGGTTGAAGGTCAGCAAATCTCCCAGAGCTAGGATGACTTAAGGTCTGAGTCTGCATCTTTTGAAGTTAGTTGTTAGGATTCTTGTACAAATATCCTATTTATCTACAAGCTACATATTAATCAGAGTCAGCACTCACAGAAACAACATTGAAAGAATGGTGGGTGGGTTACAATTTCCCACCATTACAATTTTTCACTGTTACAGGCTGCTGCATTTAAAAAGTGCCTAGCACTTAGTGTTAGCTGTTTTTATTTATAGTTTTAAATGTTATTTAAAAAATTCTCTTGCCCTGGCTGGTGTAGCTCAGTGGATTGAGTGAGCACGGGCCTGTGAAGCAAAGGGTCACAGGTTTGATTCCCAGTCAGGGCACATGCCTGGGTTGCAGGCCAGGTCCCCAGTAGGGGACACACGAGAAGCAACCACACGTTGATGTTTCTCTCCCACTCTTTCTCCTTCCCTTCCCCTCTCTCTAAAAATCAATAAATAAGTAAATAAAATATTTTTAAAAATTCTCTTATAGATTTTCCCAGTACTGTCCAGATGTAGGCAGTGTTCACTGCACTGAAGTCAGCCATTAACAGTTACCTTGGGGTAAGCCATTCACACAAACTGCTAAACAACTTTTTAGGTTGTCTTTGGAAGAAAACAGAGCCCAGAGAAAACAGAATCCTTACCCACTCCCTTCAGAGCTGGGAGGAGGTCAGAGCAGGGCAGAGTGAGAGGCCTGGTTCAGACAGGCTGAAGTGGGGAGAGGGGAAGATGAGGGTGCAGATGAGTGCAGAGGGCAAAAGGCAGAACAGGATGTAGAGAGTGACTATCACTACCAATTTGTCAGTGTGTGTAAGGTTCACAATAATTAGCGAGTGGTCCCTTGCATCAAGTCTCATTGGAAGTTGGTTTCGGCAGAATCCTTCAACTTAGAGTTTCAGGGTCTAATCAATTAGTGTGGAATTTGCTGCCCTCTTCTGGAAAGCACGGGGAGTTGACCTTTTGATTGTGCAAATCGGTCGTAAGCGTGGGAAATCTGAGGCCAGTTTCAGACAGAATTTGAAAGGTGTCTCAGCAGGAAGGAAAAACCAGGTGGGAGTAGACAGGAAGGTAAGTGCGTGAACAAAAAAGGGGCCACGTGTGAAGCCTGACAAGTTCCGGGGCGGCTACATGGCGGCCTTAGGAACTCAGAGACCTGAAGTAACCACGTGGCTGGTGCGAAATGAAAACTTCCCAACTAAAAGCAGGGTGGGCGGTCATGCCCTAGGCCAGTATTTTTCCCTCACAAAGGCCAATCTTCACCTTAACTGAGGCTGCCTTTTTTTTCTTTGTATCTATGAAAACATACCTGATAATATACTTTGGGATATTAATTTCCTTTTTCCCAGACTCCTGAAAGCACCATCGCCCCAGCAGAGCAGAGAAATCTCCTCACTGTTTCCGTCATCATGTGAATTGTGGGCTGTTAAAGGCCCGGTACCCCCGATATTGAAGAGTAAGCGTCTGTTCTTACTTTGTACTCAGTCGCAGAGACACCCCCTGCTTTGCTTCCCCTGCCTCTCTAGTCACCAATGAATTTCATGTAATCCCCTTACATCTTCCCCTTTGATTCTGATGTATAAAGTTAGTAGTAAGACTGATATTTTTCCAGAGTATTTTCTCAGTCTGTTGAGATTTCGCTTCCTAGGACTTGTCAGTTTGGTTCAAATAAACTCATAAAAAATCCTGACAGGTTTAGACATTTCTTACATTGACATAACATAGCATATTTCTCAAAATGTGCAGAAAAGTTCCTGCAACCCATTCAAACTTTAGCAAAACTTCCCTGCTACAACCAAAAGCCCTGCATTAAGCTTCGTTCATGAGCAGAAGGTGTTTGTTGAGATGTTAGTTTATGGAGGAAAGAGCTCAGAGTGTGGAGGCAGTCCGGCCTGAGCCGAGGTCTGGACTTTGCTGCTGCTGCTGCTGCTGCTGCTGCTGCTGCTGCTATGTGTGAAAGTGGCTGAGCTCAAGCTGCTTATTTAGCCTCTTGGCTTTGACTTTGTTGTGTCAAGGGAGGACAGTAGCGCGTAGCCCAGGAGGATGAGGTGAGATGCCATATTTCAGAAGACCAATGTCTCATAGATTTCCCTTTAAGAAATTTAGTTGAGGAAATGATAGCATCATATTGAGAACAATAAAGAGAGACCTGAATAAACAGGGTGCCAGCTGAGGTCCACCCCCCGCTAAGAGCCCCTGAAGCCGCTTTGCTCCAAATGAGTTAACTTCACCCCCACCCTGCCCCCAGGAGGAAGCGTTTGCCCTGAGACATCTAGATGTTCTTGGAGGAAGCTAGGTTCTTCCCCAGGGTCATAAGGAGCATTCCAAGGACCCATGCGTGGGAGGTTGGGGGTGGCAAGATGGTTTATTCGTGTGGAAATAGAAGCTGCCCTCGGGCTTCCAATGTCCCATCTCCCTCTGTCATGCTGTGGAAAAAGTCCAGTCTTGTCTTCAGTAGGGCCAGGATGAAGGCCACTGCCCAGAGTCTGTGCTCCATATGGGAGTCCAGTCCAGCTTCCGGCATCTGGCCAGCGTCGTGTGTTTCCAGCGGCAGTCTGTGGCTGTGACCCTGGTGTGGAGATGCACACCCATGGGCCACGTGGCTGGAAGGGGCGCAGGGCCATGGAGAGCACAGGTGCATGCACCCTGGGACTGTGGGCCATAAGTGAGAGAGAGAGAGAGAGAGCACATGCTTCTAGTTCCCCTAGGATTATATTAGCTTGGGCCAGGTTCCTTCTCAAACAAATCAACTTTCCAAACTTTCATGAGCTTTTGGATGGGTTTATTCCCCCTGCTTAGACTGACAGGCCTCTACAGTCCAGCACGTTCCTCCCGCTCCGCCTGACAGTCCAGTACTGCAGGGGGAAGGGGGGAGAGTCAGTCCCCTTGGTGGAGTGCGAGGCTGTGGTTCCCTGGGTGTGGAGCCGTAGCTTCCT